AACGAATGAAGTCCTGTGACACGCTGCAACTCGGATGAACCTCAAAACATCATGGTAAAGATTCCAGACACAAGAGGCCACGTACTGTGTGACGCTTTTCTGTGAAAGGTCCAGGCAGATCTGTAAAGACTGAAAGCGGATTTGTGGTCCGGCCAGGGCCCGGGCAAAGGAGTGACACTTAGTGCCTACGGGGTGTTCTGCTGCGGGGTGAAAAAGTTTGAAACTGGAGAGAGGTGATGGTCGCACCACACTGGGGGTGTACGAAATGGCACCGAGTCAGCACTTTAAAATGGTTAATTGTATGTTATATGAATTTCACATCAGCAAAAGCAGAAAGCGGGGCGTGGGGGGTAGAGGAGGGATGGCAGCGGGCGTGGGGGAAGCGGGGGGGAGGCGACTTGTGATGCCTGACGTGGGTTTTCTTGGTTTGAAGGACAGTGTGACCATTGTGTCACCAAAATAGAGCAGAGTGTACTCCGATTACAGTGACCACAGATCTCCTCTGAGGGGTCGAGGCTCCGTCCCTGCTCCCTTCACCAGGAGCAGGCTTTAACGCCAAAGGTCACGAGGTGTGGCAGCGCTGGGTCTGGGCTGACTGGCCGAGGCCCCTCCGCGGGCTTTCAGTCAAGAGGACTCTGCTCGGAGCCTGCGCCCCTCACGCGCTTCCAGCCCTGGCCAGCGCCTCTGGGCTCAGTGAGCAGGTGTTGCCCCCGGGGGAGGGGGAGCCCTTCTGGGCAGCGGGATCCCCAGCCCACATGTCAGGCACCTTCCTGTCAGCTCTTGGCTGTGTAAGTCGTGTTTTTCTGAGTGCTTGTCAGAGCAAGGACTTAGACCGAAAAAAAACGCAAACCCGATGCGGACTAAGGCCCGACAGCAGGGAGAACAAGCTGGCTGTCAGTCAAGGGAAGCATCTGGAAGGTTTCAGCACAAGTCGTTTGCCTCTGGGCTCTGATGGGTCCCTTTCCAGCAGGTGGATGAAGGTCCCAGGCAGCGTCAGCCGCCACCACGAAGCAAGCCCCGTTCTGCAGAACTGGTCAACTCTCGGCTCAGACACACAGGCTCCCCGAACGACGGACCTGGGCTGCTGGCCTGGACACCCGCCCGGACCCCACTAGGGGACTGGCGTTGACTGGCGGGCATTAGCCACCCCACCAACATCACCCTTAATCTGGCTGCTCCCCAGATCTCTGACTAAATCTACGTCCCGCTCATGAGCGCTCAGCACTAACTGCCCGTTCCTGGATTCATGGTCCAGACCCACGGCTGCCGCAGAATCTCAGCCGAGAAGTTATTCGAAAAGAGGCCATTACGACGCCTAGCACGGGCCTCGCCGTGCTCGGAGGGAGGGTCTTGCCAAGCTGCCCAAAGTGCAGCTGCCCCCGCGGGGCCTGGGGAGGCAGAAGCGTCTACTGGGCTGGGCCCTCATCTGCACCAGGGCAGACTCTGCGGTCACCGCGACCTCCAGGCAGCTCCCTCCAAGTTCAGGCAGCGCTTTGTGATTTAAGATGGACACTCAGTAGATGACCTTCTTAGCTTTACAGCTACCCATGGATCCTGCTGGAGCTTCCTCCCCAGTGGGAGGGAGGGGGTGGTCCTGGAAGGGACAGTGTCTGTAGAGTCTTCAGGTTCCACTGCACGGAGCCTGTTCAGATGCAAAACTCACGGTTCCCTAGCAACCCCGTTATTGTCATTCTCTTCTTACTTGAGTATTTTGACCAATGACTTCATCGTTCTTCAGCCGAAGACGTTCAGTAAAGCGCAGTCTTTTAATCGAATAATTAAAATGAAAGGCAAATTTTTATTTTTACTTACACATTTCAATTTTATTTAAAATGGAATGAAAACCGAATAGTATTTACTTCTAAAACTTCGCAGCAAAGTCGTGAGGCTGCAGTCCTGACCCGCTTTCCCCCCTGGAAACGGTGGTCCTGCCTGAATGCCATCCGCTGATCCGGGAAAGGAATCTGTGCCACATCCTGTCTCCAGGGCCGGAGTCATGGCTCCTGCCACATGCCGCGGCCACTCACGCCGCTTAGTCAGAGCATCATGTCTCCAGGGCTGGAGCTCAAAGCCTCCGCATCACGTGGTGTAGCCACTAATGTGTCTTCACCAGAGCATCAAATGATGTCGTTGATGCGGTTCTGCTTTTATTTTTAACAAAGCGTCTTCCCCAGTGGGGCCTGTCTGAGCCTCTGGGCCTGTCCTTGGCTTCATGCCAACAACCCGACTAATTTCCTGTGTGGAGGGCCCTTAGGCGAAGACTGCTTCTCACGTGAGCCACTGCACTGGGGCCTGAACCATTCTCAGTGTCGTCGGAGGGAGGGCCGCTTCACAGGGTCCTGTGACAAAAGAACCGGACTGGAGACCGACGTCTGGGTTTGAATCCTGGCTTCGCCCGTTAGGAGCCGTGTGACTCCTAACTGCGAAGTTAGTTAACTTCTCTGGGCTCCTGCTTCTAGATCTGCAAAGCAGGACTTACCAACAGGATTCAAGGAGAAATGAGCTTGGTCCCCAGAGTGGGACAGAGATGCAGTCACACCCCAGCCCTGGGGCTTGCTCTTTGGGGACGCTGACAGTCCCCAACCTTCCAGAGCCTAGCTGCCAGCCTCTGACTGCTCGTGGGAATTAAGAGAGAAGTGTACACACCATGCCAGGGATGTGGTTAGGCCCTGAGAATGTTTTTGTTGACTATAAAATAAAGGTAAAATACACCGTGTATTTCCTCTGTGGACTTCTGAAATGATCAGGTTAACAATATATGTAAAAACACACCATAAACTATAAAGTAATGTAAAATGTCATTATCGTTATTTAGAATCTATTCTCTTGAACCTCTCGAACCTTGAAAAAGTTGGGAAAAAATGGTACAACAAACCACTAAACATCCGTTTTCTAGACTCATCAGTTATCCACATTTTCTCTATCTACCTCAATCTCTATTTATCTATTTATTGTCTATCTATAATTTGTTGAACCATTTGAAAGCAAGTTGCAGGCATCATACACTATACCTAAGTGCCTTAATAACCCATTCTCCTGTATAACTAAGTACGCCTATCACCAAGGCCTTTAATATGCATGCAATGACACTCTCTGACATACGGCCCGTACTTGAACGTCCCCAGTGAGCTCCGCAGTCTCCCTTATGGCTCATTTTTTGTTCCCACACAGGATCGCACATTTCATTTGGTTGTCACGTCTCTTCAGTTCTCTTTGACCTCGAATTGTGCCGTCCAGCGCGGAAGCCCTCGTCGCGTGTGGCTGTTAAGTACTTGAACTGTGGCGGGTCCAAAGTGATCATACTAAAGATTCATTATATACCCCCAAAGAATAGAGTTACATTGTTCATAATTCCGTGTGCCGATTGCATGACGAAATGATAATACATGGAATGTATTTAACTAAAAATGTGTTATTAAAGTTAATTTTACCTGTCTCTCTACTTTTTAACGTGGCTGTTTAAAAACTTAATTGCATATGTGGCTCACATTATAGTTCTGTTGGACAGCGCCGTCCTAGAATAGTCTTTCCCGCCTTTTTTTTTTTTTTTCTTTTGTGACATGGACATTTTTGAAGAATCTAAGCCAGTTGTCTGTAGAACGACCTATAATCTGAATTTTCCTGTTTTCTTTTGACTGGATCCTGGTTAAACCTTTCTCACAAGAATATAATCTAAGTGGGTGGGTCCTTCGCAGGTCAAGACATCACTTATGGTGTCGGTTTGTCTCATTGCTGGGGTTGCAAAGTCCGATCACTTGGTTAGAGCAGCATCTGCCAGATCTCCCCAATACAAGGGTGCTTTTCCCCCTTTGTAATCGATAAACAACCTCAGGGGTGATCCTTCGAAACCATGTGAACATCCTGCTCCCACAGCCTTTTATCCAGAGGTTTTAGCATCCAGTGGTCCTCTTTGCCTCTGTCAATTATAACATCGGTGGTTGCAAACATCACGGGCGTCTTAACTTTTCATCTGAATTCAATAGCTTGACTAATTTTCTGTTTGTGGCTTTTATGTTAAGATAGAATGAACAACTCACTACTTGCTAAATCTCATAATACTGGTTGCATAGCATTCCTTTCTATAGAATCTGGAATGCGACGTGGTTTTCATGACCTTTATTAATGATTACTTAGGTCATTTCTATTTTTTTGCTATTAAAGGATGAACATCCTTTTTCCCTGTTCGTTCAGTCACTTCCTTCTCTGAGTTTCCTTCCTAGAGCTCCTTCTTCGAGCTCTATTCCTAGAAGTGATATCGCTGAGCATGTTTAATTAAATTTTGACACACGTAGTCAAGTTGCCCTCCAGAAATATCACACAGCTCACACTTTTAGTCAACCATCCAGGATGCTTTCAGCTGCCAAAGAACAATAACCTCAGTGCAAACTGACTTACATAATAAAGACATTTATCAGAACTCCAGATGAAAGGTAAGGATTTTTGCTCAATTTCATCTTTATAGAAAGACACTGGTCGTGACCCACCAAACCGACTTCAAGTTTATAGTTTGAAAAACACTGGCTTCAAACACTCACATTCCATTCCGGAGCTAGAGAGGGGTGACCACCCCGACAAAGTCTGACTCCCGCTGTGAAAGGGGGGGAAGGGTGTCCATGACCCTATCTACACGGGGGAGCTGAGTGCAGCCTTCCCCGAGCCCTCCTCACCCTCAGCGCCCTCCTCTTTGCCGAGCGAAGTAAATCAACTCCCTCTCTTTTTAAATGTCGTCTGTTCAACCGTGCGAGTTTGCGGGCAAGCGTTTGTGTGCCGTGCAGGCTCCGTGGGCGACCTGCCTGGGCTCGTTATCTGGAGCCACCGCTGACCAGCTGTTTGACTCCGAGCAAGTTACTTAACCTCTCTGTGCCTCCGGCTCCTCCCACCTAACATGGAAATCATAGCTACCTCCTAGATTTGTTATGAGAATTAAAAAAGAATTTGCATAAAGTGCTGAGCACAGTACGTGCGTTTCAAAAGGCAACTGACTGCTTTTTCATTTGCAGATGTCTGTTGCTCTGATGGATGAAATCGGGCTTTGAACTCTGCACACCTGGGAAAAGTCGCCAACAGGCACTCGTGTTCTGTGAGTCCAGCTGTGTCCTCGGTCCCCAGACCCCACCTGGCTCCTGCGACATGAGAGCTCAGGGAAGGTCTGCTGGTGGGCAGTGAGGACCAAGCCCTGTGAGACCAGGAAAGCTGGCAAGGACTCTGTCTCCCAGGGCTTCGTCAAGGAGAAGGCGGAAAACGAACGTTAAAACCCGCACACACTCAGCACGCTGTGTTCACGTGTAGTCCCCGGGCCACTCGCCCCTGCTCGTTCCTGGGTTCGCGAGGCCCTGCCTGTCGGCCTCCAGGGTCCTCGGTTCGGTCTACGCCTCCCGCGCCTCGGTCCACGTCTTTCCACTTTGGACCGGGGCCGGCGCCTCGCGGGACCCGCCGTGAGCGCCGAGTAGATGGTAGGTGACTGGCTAAATAAATGTGACTTGCGACTATGCGGTGTAAGGTGCTAGAGTCACTGGAGTACCGTTTCCCCTTTGACTTCAGTTTCCCCCTGGGATCCACAGTGGTTTATGTACAGAATCTCGCAGCCAGTGTCTCCTTGGGGACGGGAGCCTAAGTATCTAGGGAAAATGCGAAGTGGCAGAGGGATTAGGACAAAGAAGGGCACGTGTGCCCGTAGAACCGATGCTGTCGAGAGTGGGGGGGTCTGTGAGACGCGCGGCAAACTGCACGGGGACCTGTAAAAGCCCCTCGGCCCAGCGCGGCCCAGCGCGGCCCAGGGCAGGGCAGGCCCGCGCCGGGCCCGCCTCGC